GCTGGGGTGGGGAGGCAAGGGTGGGGCTGGGGTGGGGGGTTTAGGGAGAGGGTTAGGGGGGTAGGAACCGTCGTTTTTACAAACGGAGCACCGTAGGTACCTCAAACGAACTGGTGTAAGCAAATGACACCAGTAGCACTGGTGTCATTTTAGACTTACCGTGTATATATATATATATATATATATATATATATATATATATCACAAATGGTAATAGCCGTGATTACAACTGGCTGCACAAGTTTGACTTATTAATCATAAAAAAACATAAGAATCAATGAACAAATAGAAAAAAAGAGTTGAACAAAACAACCATAAACGGAGTATAAATAGACGAACCACAATGTAATTAAAGTTCAACTTAATGAAGTGTGAGTAATCACCTTTACCAAAGCATTCATTTCATCCAAAAATAATACAACAGCCAACCCATTAGCTGCCCAAATTAAAGAAATAAACCAAACAATCACTGTTGAGCCCAATGAATGCAGATCCTTCCTGCCGTAATGTAAAGTAATAGTTAGTACAAAGGCAAAGAAATTTTCTGACATGTCATTTCCAAACTTTGTTTAGAAAACAATAAGCATCGCTTCTATGCTCCATTTATGTAATTGTCAACATCACTGTGAAATGACTAAAGAAACGAGGGACTAATTTTACTATCATATCCTCCAAATTGAAGAATTTTCCTTGCACTTTCTATGGAACTATTACTTTTATCCAAAATCATTTCATCTAGCCAATAAACAGGGCCATTTGGGTTGAGTTCTAGCATAAAAAAGAGAGCTTGAAAGCATTAGTGAGATAAAGACTTGTGAAAGTTGAAGTTTCTTTCTCTATTAGGATTTAGGAGGACTTTAAAAGTTATACTCCCTCTGTCCCTGAAAGATTGCCACAATTTGACTTTTTTGGTCAAACTATGGCGCCTTTTGACCGTAAATTATGGAAAAAGTATATTTAGTTATAACGTAAATTTAGTAAAATTGGGTTTATTTTAAAATATAGTTTTGGAATATCAAATTTTTATAATATTTAATTATTTTAAATTATATTTCATTTGTGGTCAAAGGGTGCCACAATTTGACCAAAAAAGTCAAACTGTGGTAATTTTTAGGGACAGAGGAAGTATCACTTAAAGCATTACGGCCTCCTATTTGTTGCATTTGGGTCATGAGACTATACCATAGTAGCTGTTTCTTCATATGTACATGATGAATAAAGTTGAGCACCCTGTGGAATCGAAAAAATGTTGAACTACATGAATCTTGGGTCGGGTGATAGTTGTGGTGATATTTTGTGGCATTAGGTGATTAAAGTCTTAGGGAAACATACTGCCAAAAAGACGGTAAGAATCTAAGGTAGTTACTTTAAGATAGACTATTTGTGACTCCTCTGAATACCTTGGAATTTTTCCTCCTTAAAAATTTAAAACAATCGTTCAAATTTAGTGGAAACTTACCCTATTTCCCCACAAAAAATGGCATCAAAATCTATGGTTTTTACAACCTGGGAAGTTGGTTTATTTCAAAGACAGCGCCAAAGTTATACTTCCTCCATTCTTAAATAAATACAACGAAGGAGGGTTTGGCACTACTCATTCGCTCACTTTTGATTATCTTTTGTGATTCATACAACAAAATATAAGAATGTGGGGTCCTGTTAGATTCATCTCTATTGAGATATAGTCCCACGTCGAACACCGAGACTAAAAAAGACCGATAGATAAGAATATGAGTTACTACTCCCATCGTCAATTGAAATATTACTCCCATCGTCATTTTTAGTTTTTACCAAAACATAATTCAGGATATTAATGATTTGCTTTATGCATTGGCAAATGTGAAAATTTTGATGTTTCATTTCTGTAAGAACATAGGAGGTATTTAACTATGACCCAAGAATCACTAGTATCCTCAATAGGAGCCACTGACCAATCAATTGCATCTTAAGCTCCAGAGTTTATGATTTCTACACAGGTTTAGATGAACGCAAAAATAGACGTGGAAATTTTGATGGATTAAACAACTTCACTAAGTGGCAATATGATGGATATTCTGAACTAATACGAGCTTCATACTGCTCTTCATGACAAGAAGTTTTCATATTTTAAACACAAAAAATGAGCTAGGTCAATTGCAATGCTTGTATCGTGATCCGGTCCTGTAGGAAATGACACTTCTTTACGAGGGAGACATCTGTGAGTAGGATCTGTGAGGAGTGTGAGAAACAATTTTTAAGAAAAATTGCCACAATTGTTTACATTTAAAAAAGAATCTATTTTGCTTCTAGTTTCCAATCAGTTACAACTGTTCATATCTTGAATTCAATAAGCTGGTACCTGAATTACTAAACTTTGACAAGTATATCAAGAGGAAGATAAAGCAATCTTGGAGATGCTGAAGATAAAGTCTTTTGAATGTTCTTAAAGCAAGGATTATGGAAAGGTGAAGAGGTTTGAAATCTAGATTTTTGCAAGCAATGTGTTCTAGGAAAGCAAGTAAGAGTGAAGTTGGGAACCTCAATCCGTAATGCAAAGGGAATTATGGATTACACTCACACGGATGTATGGAGACTATCCAAGACAGCCTCCGTGGAAGGTAAACATTCATTTGCTCATTTTGTTGATGACATTTCATGAAAATTTTGGGCGTGCACTATGAAGTCCTAAGATGAGGTGCTTGAAATAGTTTTGAAGGGAAGAAAGTGTGAATAGAGAACCAAACTGAGTGGAAGATTAAAGAATATCAACCAAATAATGAAGCCGAATATTGTAGTGACCCATTTCTCGATATTTTCAAAAAGGCATCACTAAACATTTCTCAATAAAGGTACACCACAGCATCCAGAATGCATGAACCAACCCTTGCTGGAGAAATCAGTGTACATTGTTCAATTCTAGTTAAATCAAAGCACTTTTGGATTGAAGGTCAAGGTTGCACATATGCAAATAACCTCATTCATCCTCTGCTGTTAGACACCCTCAAAAGCAAAATAGGTAGAGTTGGCAGCCCTGCAAATGATTATAATACTTTACATGTATTTAGTTCAATTGCATATTCTACTAAAAAAAGGTTCTATTGCATATTATCACAATAAAGAGTCTAAATTAGATCCAAGAGCTATGAAGGCTTTGTTTATGAGATTCACTACAGGTGCTAAAAATATCAGCTCTATTGTCTATCTTCAAAGAAAATCATTTCCAGGATGTCCGAAAGATAACTGAAGATGACAAGGGCCAAGCAACACTTCTGAGTTCTGAGTTCTGAGTCAGACGCATCAACAAATGTTGGAGAGTGCTCCACAATAGGTGGAGTTTCAAACAACCACTAGTCCACTACTAAAGCAGTAGAAAACTCACCGTCGGAAAACGACTGTTTAAGAACGGAATAAGGTTTTGGAGAGGAAGAGGACTCTACAAAAGAAGCTCCAAAGCTACAAGATTTACCAGTTGTCATCTGTAGGTCAAGAAGAGAGAAGAAACTACCTGTTCAGTTTGATAATATAGTGGTCAATGCAACTTTGGACGCCCATCACGCGTCATCTGGAAATAACCGCTCTATCTTGTAAACATAGGGGTCAAGCTACGTACATGATTACCAATGGTGCTTGAGCTAGGGGTCTCTTTGGAAACAGCCTCTCTACTTTCAAGTAGGGGTAAGGTCTCCATACACACACCCTCCCCAGACCCTACTCTTGCGAGATTCAATGGGTTGTTGTTGTTGTTTTTGTTGTTGATGTTGAAGGTATACTTCAGGCTTTTTCTTGGAGGAAGTCAAGGACTCAAAGGAGGAGGAAATGCAATCTCTTGAGAAGAAACACGCTTGGAAGCTAGTAAAACCTCTAAAGGGAAAGATGGCAATTGGTTGTAGATGGGTGTTTGCTAAAAAAGAAGGCAGGGCCTAGATCATGAATATTAAGACATGATGGTCTTGAAAATGCATTGATTAATTTGGTAATAGGGACATTTAGCTCAAATTTGTAAGTACTTGGATTAAAAGATTTTCTCCAACTTGTAAACAACAATACTAGTGGGGAATGAAGAGTCGAAGACTAAGGCAACGTTCTGTTCAACTTATTTGTTCTGCTTATTACTTATTCTTATTATAATCAGATCAAATCAGACCAGATCAGAAACAACTTTAATTATAACTGCAATCAGATCAGATCAAAGATCAGACAGATCACAGATCTTCAAAAAATCAGATCAGATCGGGCGAACGGAACGCAGCCTACATTCATACTATGAAGATTATTCAGGGACAGGCCTGGAAAAACCAGTCGTAAAGATACTCAAATAGTACCTTGACGATTATAGCCTGAAGGTTAAGCCTTACAAGACTTTACACACTGACTTGGTTCCATGAACTATTTGTTATATCAAGATAAACTTTCACTCCATCAGATTTTAAGTGTGTCAGTTGAGATAAGTTTGGGAGCTCATAGTTGCACCATTTAACTTGGGGGAATTCACAAACCACATTGCACAAGGCAGACACTTAAAAATGGGACTGATTACTGATGAATGATGAATGGATGGATGAATCATGGATGATGATGATGATTATTATTATTGTTATTATTATTATTATTATTACGGAGTAATGTTGTTATTACAGAGTAGTAGTAGTAGTAGTAAATATAATAATAGTAATTATTATTATTATTACAGTATTATTATTATCATATTATTATGATTTGAGTTCCATATTATTATTAATTAATGTCATGCTTATTTTGACTTAACACGGGTCACAAGATCCGGAACACTTCCTGAAAGTTCGAAAGTTTTTCATAACCTACGGGTAGAGGACAACAATACAAAGATAAGAACACACATGATGTAGGTGAGAAGATTCGTTGTGAAATTTTAAGCAATCTAAGCTTGTAGTATAACTATAAAAAATGCAGATTAACAGATTTCTTGCATCAGATCTTGAGAGGTAAAATATTCAAGACAGAAGACAAGCTGGAAAAAAATAGTAGTAAGGAATAGCTGAATTAGTACCTTGAAGATATTAGCCTGAAGGTTACAGGAGCTAACACAATGACTTGGCTACGTGGATTATTTGTTATATCAAGATACACTTTCACCCCATCAAATTTTAGCTGTGTGTCAATTGAGATACATGTTTGGGAGCTCATGGTTTCATCATTCAACTTAGGAATGCCACTCTGACGAAGCTCCATTAGCCTAATGCTCTTTGCTTTTGCATCCGCAACTGACATTGATTTACTTGAGAAACTGAAGTCAGATTCCAGATTTGGCGAAACGGAAAGTTCCATGTTGGCAGCTTCAATTCTAAGGTGGGCCATACCATTCCTAGTTGCATGAAGCAGGCCTGTTAACTGATCGTGATGCTCCATGTTTATCAATGAAATCTGAATGTGTGGACCAGCAACTCTTATTCGGATATGAATATGCTTTTGCAAAATTGACGCATGTTCTGCTACTGCCATTTGAGATGAAAGTAATATGTAGTTATTCCTCCAGTCAATTGAGGGCAAGTCACCACTAGAGGGTGATGTAGCATGCAACACAGTACTTGTTTCCACATTAGACCGAGTCCACGAAAGGGCATTCTTAATCTGTGTAGAAATTACAGCAACAGATACTACGGATGCATTTTCAATAATTAAATTCAGCCTTCCAACCACCATACCGCAACGTAAAGACCCTAATGTACTATTCTGCATGGTTTGATCAATCAAGAGATTGTTTATCTCGCAAAGAGCAAATGGGTTCACAAAATCCTGGATTTCATTGGCTCCAACTTTTGAGCAACATTTTCTCCACTTCAAGAGCATTTCTCCTATGATGTAGTCTTTAAAAGAGAGACCAGGGATGCCAGTCCCATTAGCATGATAGGCAGTATTTTCCACAGAGTGTACAATTTCTGCAGGCTCACCCCATAATACTGGGGATAAGCTTTGAGACTTTTTTTTCTGAGCACCATTCAAGTACTTCACAGATTTTCTATAATTGCCTTCTATAAGAGATAAAGGAACCACCCTGAAGGACTGACAGCCAAAGGCAAGACATTGTTGCGTAATATTTTCAGAATATCTTAAGTGAAGTACATCGATAAAAACAGAAAATGAAAGCAACTCATGGTATGCGAGCCCAATATCAGAGAGCATCTTCCCACTAACAGAAGGGTGAACTTCGTCTTCAGGGGAAATCAAAATTGAAAATTCTCCAACATCTAGGACAATGTGGCGGCATAGAAAAGAACCATTGGGAACATGTCCAAGATCTTCATTGGAGTTTGAACATTTACCAGCACTATATTGAAAACTTTTAATGAAGCAAAATACATAGCAAATGTACTTCCCAAAAAAGATGAGTGGTGTGAAAATTTTCATAAAAAGTGCCTTCACTTTTGACTCGTGACAAAATTCTCTTGTCTTTTGGGAACCTGAAGCAGCTCTATTGCGTATTATTTTTCTAGCAAGTGCAATGGCTTCACTGGGTAGGTCATCTTCCATTTGGCAAATTTTCTTCCAATGCTGCTTAAAAGCTATAGAGTATGTTTTGCCCCCAACCATAAAACCAACTGATTGTCTTATTGAGTCTTCTGATGGATACCCAACCAGTAAAAGCATTTTCTCATAGGTGTGTATATATTGTATCCAGATACATATTATGCAAACAACCTTATGCAATAAAAACTTGCGCATTGAAGTTAAGGACTTAATTTTGTCTGCTGCTATTTTCCACAGTTGCCTACCACTTCTAATAGACTTGGCTTCTTTCGAAGACAATACGAAAAGTAGAAGTATTGCGGAAACATGAAAGGGAGATAAAGAAAGTTTCAATGCTTCAACAGAAAAATCAAATTCAATAAAACTATGATTTTTAGATTTAATGGAAGCATGTAGGTTTGTTGAAGGCACAATGTTGCTCACGTGATGTTCAGTATTTAATGTTATCTCAAAATTATCAATGTCAATATCAATGTAGCTTTCTCTAGAGGGCAAGAGAAATGAACTGATAGCCCCACTGAGGAAACAACACCGGACAGATTCACATCCCACGCCAAGTTCCTTCATCAGAAATGAGAAGGAAACAAAACCATTCGAATGAGAATGCAGCAATGTGACTTCAACATCACGCACTTGAAACTGACAATGCTGAAATATGCAATCAAACAGAGAATCTGTCCACTTAAATTCTCTAATTTCAGTGATCCTTTCCATCGCAGCATGCAGAGAACTACCCTGAAATTCATAAAACTCAGAGATATTATAGCTGGCTTTACGGACATTTGTGGCTTATTCAAAAGTCACACACAGGTGGGCATTTTTATTCTTGCTTACTTTTCCAATCTCACACCGTGAGTTTGTTTCTTTGTGGGAGTTTGAGAGTTATAAAAGAACTCCTCCTCCCATTCTATCCATCCTAAAAATTTGTATCTTCTCCCACATTAATAAAACATAGGCTGATTGAGCAGTGCTTGAGAGTTGAGATTAAGCTTATTTAACTAAGCTCTGTTATCAAAGTTTTTGGGTATGTTTCTCTCTTTATCTCTTGTTTATTTCTTTTTATTTATTGTTGTCATGTTGTTTTTTTAGTTGTAGTATAGTATTTGATATTATTTGTAGTGTATATTTGTTAGTGTTGTATGACTTGTATTTGTTTCATTTCTTCTGAACCAGTTCATTTCACTAGTTTTTCTATCTTGGTTGGAAAATCACCTAATTTCCCCTAACAAGTGGTATCAAAGCCGAAGGTTCGTTCTTAGTTTATTTGTAATTGTTGTAATATTGAATACTAAATGTTGAGTGTGTAATGACGGTTGTCAACTAAAGATCAAGAAACAAAGGATATTGATTCAAATAATGAAATTTACCTAATTAGGATTTAAACATTAACTTATACTACAATAGGGACTCCTCAGTTTTTATCCCCTAAATAGGAGCGTTAGCATACCGCAATGTCACATGTTGGCATTGTATGTTCGTATTGCACACGTGTTTTTGGCATTATATATTGATATTCTTTGGCAATATGGGTATTAATTCGGTATAAACTATAAAATATTGAAAGTCATATTTTGATATATATATATATATATATATATATAGAAGATGTTTCAGTTCTAGTTACCTAGTTTTCCCTTCAAATATGACCACGGGAACATCAGCTCGTCATAATGACTGAGGTTCTTGCTATCATGTTTGAAATTGGCGGTGGAAACATTTCACGGCCATTCCGACATGTGGCAAGGGGAAGTCTTGGACTCTCTTTTCTAGCACTAGCAGGGTATTGATATTGGTATTGAGTAAAAGAAAAGAGATTAAAGATAAAGACTGGAGTATCATTGATAGGCTGGCATGCAGAACAATTAGATCATGCATGTCCAAAGAGTAGAAATATGATTTCAAGAGCGAGACTTCTATACACAAACTCCTTGTGAAGAAAAGATTGTTCAGATTTGATTACCAACCAAGGTACTACTATGAATGAGCACATCACTATGTTTAATCAATTACTACGTAGTATTTAGTAGAACGAAGATTTTGCTTTGATGTTGTAATCAATCTCTTCCGAACGAATTTGAACATTTGGAGACTAGTTTATTTCACGAGAAGGAAAATGTGTCATTAGATGTTTTTTGTTATGCTTGGTGTAGTCGTCTAACTTGTAGTATAGTATTCATTAATATTTGTTGGGTACATTTGTTAGTGTTGTGTCGGGTTTATTTGTTTTGAACCAGTTACTAGTTGTTCCCGTGGTAAAGTTAACCCGACACAACACTAACAAATCCCAGTTGTACCTGCGGGTCAAGCTCTGCCAGGAGCTTCCTTTTCTGATCAATAGACTTGTCTCGTGGTTTCGGCCTGATTTCTGCACTTCCCTCATTCTCACTTCAATGTACAAACACAAAAATAACAACCAAATTCACTCGCAAATAGACAGCATCTCATAGAGAGAGAGAGAGCAAGAAGACAGAGAGAACATACCCCAGTGCTAGAGAAACGCGAAGGCCTTGAATTCGGAAATTGAAAGCAGGGGCGGACCAGTTGGACACGTGAAAGCCAAACTGTTCGACGACCACTTCTCTGAAGCACACGCGAGAAGGATCATCTAGCAACTGGTTCAGAGCGGAAGCGTTGAAGCGGAGGTTTGTGGCGATTCCGTGAGAGCGAAGAAACCCTAGCTTGACTTCGAGTTCCGGCTCGTCCGCCAGCCATGGCCGTAAGAGAGCAGAGAGTCTCCGCTGAATCAAGGCGTTGAAGAACATCATCTTCCTCCACACATTCCCTGTCTACTCATCAAATCAAACTGCGATTTCTCCCCTTCGCTCGCAAGTTCTTCGCTGCCAAAAGCGATGTAACCGAATAGGTGAGTGAAGGCTAGATTTCGTGTTGCGCAAGTCCATATGGCTTCTTCAGATTCTGTCTGTCTCTGATGATCATTGCGTCGGAAAGAATTATGAGAAGGTTCTCTCACCTAAACTCGCTTTTCTTTCTGGAGGGGAACGAATCGTGTACTTAACGACGCCGTTTGATGTGGGGTCCTGCAACCCCAAGACGATTCAAGTTTTATATCACGAGAATGTCATGTTATCCCAAAATTTGTATCTCATTTATACATTAAAGATAAATGATGGACAGTAAATTTTCTCGCCTAAAGGGGTAATGATGGACAGTAAATTTTCTCGCCTAAATGTTTTGGGTTCGGGTATGGCAATGGGTTTGTGGGGGACAGTTGTATTGAAAAAACAACTTTGAGACCCATGCAAAAGTAATAAGCGTTGATTATATTGAGACCCGTGAATATTGAGACCCGTGCAAAAGAAAAAGAAAAAGGCATTCATTTGGAGCCAGCGAGGAACACCGATTTTTATTACAGGGTTTCTTTCCTACGGGGCTGGATCCTCTATCCCACTTTGGGTGTCCCATTCCTCTATCCCACATTTATGTGATTGCCATGTGGCATATCAAGTAAACATATTTTTTAATAAAAAATATTGCTACAGAATAAAATGCTCCGTCTTCCGAACCGTTAAAAATACTCCGTCAATTCTTATGTCTTTCGATTTTTTTTATTTTCTTTTGCACTTCATCATTCTCTCTTAGAGCACTGGTAATACGTTTGAAACCCGTGGTTTTAAAACGGGGCTTCAAACTTTCTCTCTCTGCCACGTCAGTTTTAACTTACACCCAAAATTCACCGGAAATGGATTTGAAGCCCCGGGGCTTCAAACTGGGGCTTCAAACCTTCATTTTTTACATTTTTAAATATACATTTTCTAAAATTAAATTAATAAAATGTAATTAATTTATTATTTAATTAAATTGAAACACGAATAATAAAAAAACACATTAATTAAATAAAAAAAGCGACAATAATTTAAAAAAAAAGATACATTAATAAAAAAACTAAGGTAAATTATATTTCTCCTTGATCTCTCTCATTCTTTGCTCGTAGATAATTCGTCCAAACTCTGACAACGTCCAGGGGGCGGGGGGCGGTGTTTCACGCCCCCGGGGCGTTAAACGCCCCGTAACGCCGGTGGGCGTGAGGAGTATACCCAGTGCTATTAGATTATTCTAGGGTTTGGGTTCACACTAGGATGGACACGTCTAATATTTCTAAAGAAATAGAGTTCCTATTGTTGTAATCTGAAAACATATATTAACATATAATATTATTGATTATCCAAAACACATAATTAAGGATTTCCATA